GGACTGTATAAGAATTAAAATTCTCTTAAATCGTCTACTCCTAGCGTGAGCAATGTGCATAATTAGTTTCGACACACAAAAATTGGTTGAAACATATCTATAACCATAAAACCACAGTACTCTACTTAGAACTGAACATAAATATTAGTCTCGACACACAAAAATTGGTTCAAAGAAATGAACATAGTTAGCTTTTTTTTTCTTTTTTTCTTTTTTCAAACTATCATCTTGTACTTCGAATTAGAATCAATTAACTAAGCCAGATTAAATGCACAATAGCACTAATCTAACATCGATTGAACAATGTTGTTGGCAAAAAATCGTATTTTGATCTTCAAGAACAAAAAAAAGTAATTTGCATATGGGTCATGGCTTAGATCATTAAATGTCTTTTCAATGCTTTCAATAGAGTTAAAAGTGATATCTAATTTTGTCTCATTGGCCATTGCTTGAATCAGGTTCAAATTTTGCATGTAAGTAGGCATAGGTTATAGCTTAGCGATTATATATTCGATCATTGGAGCAAGGTTGAAACCTAATAACTTTAGTGTATTTTGTTATCATATATTGTGAAGGAACTACTCTCATTGTGTAATCCAACATCCACTGATCGCTTGATGAACGAAAACAAAGGTTCAAATTTAGCAACAATAATTTTTCTCATGCACGTGTGATCTTTCCCATTACTGTTTGTCATAGTGACAAATAGTAACGAGGGAGATCAGCCACAGGCTGGTTGTTGAATAATTAATATATTGGAACTTCAATATCAGCTCCTGTGTGCCTAATGCTCATGTGTTCAATTGTCAGTTAGCCTGTTTTGTACAAGCAAATAATCAAGAGATCACATTAATGCCAATTGAATTATAATTCATTATCAAATAATGAAGTTGTTAAGAACAACTTTTTTTTTAATCATTGTGGGAAAAGCACCAACCACTTGCTTCTGTCTTGATAAGCTTTCTTGACAGCACAAACATTGTAGATATTTGTAGAAAGTTCCCTAATATTTCATTGATTAAAATAATTTAAATACAGCAAAAACTTAGTCAAATTTCTAAAAATATGATTGATCATGATCCATAAACAAAACTACCACTAAACTGAACAGAAAATGCACAAAAACATGCAGCAACATGCTACCACTAATCCTAGAAAATAGGTCCTAGTGGAAGAACAAGTCTTCAACAGTTTGTGTCTTAAAATCAGCACCATGCTTGCTGACATGTCAAAGCTTACTTGGCATTACAACAAGACTTAATCAGTGCAGCTGTAACATACCAGATTCCTTGTAGCTTCAGAGGCATATCTCGAACACTCCTCCTTGCTTTTGATGCTGCAAGCTCCCAATTTATCTCTCAGCATCTCAAACTTGGCTTTAGGCAAATCTTTTGTAAAAATATCAAAAGCTTGTTCCTAAGTCCTGCAATATACTAAGGAAACCTCACCTTCTTTCTGAATTTTCCTTAGAAAATAAAATTTAATCTTGAAATGCTTTGTCTTCCCATGAAACACTGGATTTGAGGAGATCGATATGGCTGCTTGATTATCAACAAAAATCTGAGTTGGTTCTTGCTGCACTAGATTCAGATCCTGTAAAATTTTTCTTAGCCATATTGCATGGTTTGCCACTGTAGTTGCAGCAGCAAACTCAACTTCTGCAGTGCTTTGAGCAATGATTTTTTTCTTTTTGGAAAACTAATTTAATTATCACACCTGAACCAAAATTGAAGCAGAAACCGGTAGTACTCTTCATATCATCAACTGAACCTGTCCAATCACTACCAGAAAAGCTTGTTAACTTAAAATTTTGATAGCTTACATACTTAACACCATAGTCAATAGTTCCTTTGATTTATCTCATAATACGTTTAGCAACTTGCATGTGTTCCTCACTTGCACAATGCATAAACCTGGATAAAAGACCTACAACCTGTAAAATATCAGGTTTGGAGGCAGTGAGGTACATGAGTCATCTGATCAAGATGATCTGATGTCACAGAATTCAGTACTTTGATATGCTCTGGAGTGAAGGGCTCCATCTAAATTATTGGCCTTACAGATTGTTTAGCTATTTCGAAGCATAATGAGGGCTGTTAAGCTGTTTAATTGGGTATAAATGCGTGTTATATGTTTCATGTTAGGCATGTTTTTTGTGTTAGGCACCATAATTAGTAGTTAGACGGTTAAAAGATTAGCGTTAATAATTAGTAGTTACCGAAAACGGGATTAATTTCTCATGATATGTAGACATTGAGATACATAGCGTTCATGATGCAGACTAAATTGTCAACGGGACATTTCAAACATATGAAACAGTCAATTGTATGATAGAGCAGTATGTCTGTCCTGCTCAAGGAGTATAGGAAGTTATGCTCTATTTTCAGCTTTTCCTCGAATAATATTTTATTGTATGGACTTAAAATATCGGAACTTCCACTTCTCGTTGTCTGCTTTGACCTGTCCTCATTTCCTCCTCGTTATATCAACTTCTATTGCTTCAATTCTTTTATGATACATTGCAGAATTTCGTTAGTTTTTTCTTTCTTCAATGTTTTCCTCTCAATTTTTCTTTTCCTGCAATTTGGTTCAGGTTCATAGCTAGGGCAGGGCAGTGCTGCCTCCTCAATTACTGCTGTGTGATCTTCTGTTTCCCTTTTCTGTGCTCTTCCATGTAGGTGCTCCCACAATCACAATTGTTTCCTCATGTGTTTCCTTTTCTATTCCTCAAAATGGCCACAATTTGCAGATGATTTGGCTAATGAATAATGACAGTGCAAAGCACAAACAGTAATAGAAGCAATAGTATCAATATAGAAATGTAAAGAAAAGAAAATTTCAGAAAGACCACCGAAAGGTCATAGAGCATACCAAAAACAGGATTGAATCCTTTTTTCTTTTTTTTCGAGCAGCTAGCTTCTTGCATGGCAGGCCTATTTAGATTTTAGATAATTTTGACACTTTTGTTTTTTGGTTGTGAATGTTCATCTAACAGCCTTTTGAAATCTTTCTGCTAGTGTCATCTAAAAGGAATTGCATTGCAATCTGTTTTGATCATTTTCTGTCTTCTTATTGCATTGCAGAGTAGCAAATCATCACTCTTCTCCTGCAATTTGATTTGGTTCAGTTTTGTTAATCTATCAGGTATAAGCATCCATCTAAGTTCTCTTGTTATCTATTTTCTCAGCAGTTATCTAATTTTTCAGGTAATATATATATATATATATATATAAGGAGAATTTTTCATCTAAGAAAATTTAAGCACTATGATTTCACAGCATACTTTCGGAATCTTAAGATTTATATGAGAAGCGAAAGGAAGGGAAAGAAAAAAAAAGGAAAGGACTGCCCATGTTTTGCAATGATAGAAGTTTTCTGAATCTTCGGCATGGGAGGTGTTGGAAAGAAAAGGTAACTAACCTCTTGTTTATCAGGCCACTCATCTAACAATTTTCTATTTTTATGCATGATGAAATTGAAGTGATGATTTTTTTTTTTTTTTTTAGCACTGTCTTGTGCATGCTACAATTAGGGTTTTGGAGATTTTTTTTTTCAATTACATGATATATACTCCCAAGCCCAATTTCGAGTAAATTATAAATTAGTCCCTCTCGTTTTGAAAGCTAATCATTTAGCTTTTTATATTTTAATTCTGTAAATGATTTTATTTTTTTCATTAGTTTTTCACTAGATTAGTGATTTTTTTTCTTCAAATTGCTCTTTTTTTAATGCCTTATTTCTCTCATTTACCCACTCACTTTCTCTTTCCTCAAAAAAAATAAAATAATAATAATAATAATTTAAGAAACTGATGAAATAACTAACTAAGTTATTGATAAAATTATATAAAGAACTAAATGATTAGTTTTTGAAAAAAATGAGACTAATTAATTCGTTTTTCTAAACGAGAGAGGCTAATTTATAATTTATTCAACCAATTTTATGATGATCTACTCTTATAGACAATTGATGGTAGCAAGGTTGACATCAGAAATACAACAACTTCATGACGACCCTCAGTTAAGAGAGCAGAAAAAAAGCTGAACTTAAGATGAAGAGAGCAGGAAGGCTACACTGCCTAAGCTTACACGCCATCCTAGTCATCCAGTATCTTGATGGAGCCATATCTGAGAGGTAAATGGCACAGACTGCAATTAAAACAAATAACACAAAGTTCAGAGATAACAAATGATTAATTTGTAAGTATTACATGATTATAAGAAAATGAACTTAGACGCATGCAGACAATTAAATACCAACACCTAATAACATGCGACTAGCAATAACGACTAAGATATCAAGAGCCACAGCTCGATAATAACTCCAATGAGAAAGATGAAGCCACCAAGGATCATTGATATTTTTCGACTGCACTTCCTAGTGACATGAGAAGCAACAAGAGATGTAGCCAATACAGCCAAGTATAACGGAGACATGAAAATGGTAAACCGTGTATCATGGAACTTGCAGTATTAGTTGGTGGATGCATATGATGCCTCCTTTCAATCACCTGATGGGAAACATTTTTCAAAAAGAGAGCCATGATGAGACACCACCGGAGATACCAATGCCATATCTGAAAAATTAGCCACCATGGCTCCAAAATACAAGCAATTACCGCATCCCAAGTGACCTTTTCTGGATAATTTTTAACATCACTAGTAACAAAACCACCACCAGCCATAATGCTTAAAATTAGCTTTTAAGTTATAAGCAATTATCAATGGGATATTAACTGAATTAAGCATATGATGAAAATAGAATCTCCTGCAAAAGAAAAAATAGTTGATTGGGTTCATGATCATACCTGTGATGACTCATTTTTGCGTCCAGGATGAAGAATCTGGCAGGAGGTAGCAGCTGCTAGAGATAGAGAAGAAAATCAGGGGAAATGCAAGACCATATGCAGCACTGCAACTTCTTTACTTACAATAATGATATAAAATTCTTTCAATCATATATTTTCTTATTAATATTACATGGTCGCTGAACTTCAAGCCATGCAGCAAGGTTTACATCATGCTTGGGAGTTGGGATTTAGAAATATCATTCTTAAAGTTGACTGGCTGGAACAGGAAGCCTTGCATATGGTTAGGGAGGCTAATCCTTTATTTCGTCCATGCCATGCTCTAGTTGCTGATATTTCTGAGCTGGTTAAGAGAAAAAACTTCATCTTGCAAAAATGCTCATGTTCTCAGAGAGGGAATAGCTGTGCTGACATTATGGCCAAGTTAGGTGCCAGTGGTTCTAATGCATTTGTTGAATGGTCTGATCCTCCTTGGCGAGTTCTGCAGGCATTACATGGTGATGCTGTACGCTGCCGGTGTTTGTTTCTTGAGAAGCTAGTCTTGCATCTTGTCCTATTGTACCAAAAAAGCAAAAAAGTTTAAATCATTACATGGACCAGGAAAGATCCATAATTGAAGATTTGAAGCTGAAATTTTGTTTGTGTAGAGAGATTTGAAGCTCAACCATATTATGTGCCCTCAGCCGACAATGTATGTGAGTCCAACCAGCAAAATAAAGACTATTTAGCGAAACCTTTGCAAGGTATCTCGAAGCTAAGGATTTCAAACACTTAACAAGTAATAAGGACAAATAAGTGATTTCATTCATCAAACCAAACCAAGTCCAAGTTCACCCCTGCTCACAGAATGAGCTCTTTGAAAGAACAATAATGGAATTCTTGAAGTTCTGTGTGGGTTGTGAACATTCAGAAAATGTTTTCAAGGTGTTCAAATGATTGAAGCTGCTATAATCAGAATTTCTTGAGCACTACTAAAGGCATGATGCAATAATAATTAATCTCAGAGAGTAGAAGTGGTTTGTAAGACTACTTCACTAAGATGATTGGTTGACTGCAACTAGTTTGGAACCAAGACTCAGTTGAGTTCAGTAGCTTATAAAAACGGTTAATAAGGTAGGGGGAAGACTATAAACGCTAGCGCTAAAGTAAGGGGGTTAGAAACTAAGATCTCAGAAGATGGAAATTGGCCAAATCTAGTAGTAACAGATGACTTAGTTTTGGCTCTGTATGAACAGAGCCAAAACCTGTGGTTTGTGTGTGCAGCTGTTACAGGCTTGGTTTGGTTTTTCCCCTCCGGCCTGTTGTCTTCGCTGAAGAAGATGAACAGCGCCAGATGATGTGAGGTGCAGAGCAGGCGTGCCGTGGAGAGAAAGGGAAGACTCGAACGACTGGTCGTTCGGATTGGGTACAGGTTGGTCCTGTCATTCGTGTCTTTTGTCAATTTAGGTTCTTGTAGGTTTTAATGTTTTTAATTTAGGCGTGTTATTATAGCTCCTGGTACTTTTAATTGTTTCACTTTTAGTTTTAAGATTTTGAATTATTTCAATTATGTCTTCAATTGCATTTCAATTGCATTTCAATTATGTCTCAGTTGAGTTTAGTTTTAAGATCCAACCACAGAGGTTCGAGACTAGTTTAATGGAAATATAGAAAAAAAAAAGAGAGTAAATTTTATTATTTTAAATACTGATATTCACTAGTAATATTAATTAGGAAACTTTATTATGTTAAATATGTCCAGCACTACCTTGTTTTTTTTTTTTCCTCCGGTAATAGTTGATGCACCCAATAACCGTAACCAAAAAAAAAAGAAAACGATAAGAACTCCAATCCAATTTACAGCTTACGTAATAACAATACATCAAAGCATTCGAATATTTTCCTATGAGTGATAAAACTGCAGTGAGGATGAGTACATCCAGGGGCCAAGTCATCATAAGGCTTACCACAAGAATGGCATGCAGGATAATCCTCCGTCCTTTCAACCAAAGCGAGAGGGTGAGGATGAAACTCATATTTGTCTAGCTTGATATATTGGTTTTTCCCAAGAGCGCATTCTGGATGAGCATCGAAATCGCATTTTTCACAACGGTAGAACCAGAGCTTTGGGTCTCTTTCTTTTTCGCAAATTTGACAGACATATTGGTAGTCATTTGGATCAATGCAGGTGAGGATGAAAGAGCCCTGTATCTTTCAATTTTAGTTTTACGATTTTGAATTATTTTAATTATGTCCCTAATTGCTTTCAATTGCATTTCAATTTCATTCAATTGCACCCTTGATCTAAAATCAAAATAAAACAAAATAAAACGATAACATAAAATAAAAATGGGATAAAAAAAAAAAAAGAAGACAAGTTAAATGATGAAAATAAATAAAAATGAAATATCGATTATTTTTTTTTCCTTTTCCTTACCAAATAAAATGTAAATTCTAAAATTAAATATTACAAAAGACTCTAAAAGATGTTAGGGTGAAGTTGTTCATGCACTCGTTCACCCCTACACAAAACATTGTGAACGGTCCTATTCATACAAAAGTGTTTTTCTTTAATTTTGCACCTTTCTTTGCTTTTCTAATTACATGCTATCACTCCTACTTTTACTCTCTGCCTCCTTAACCTTCTTTTCTAATCTTCTCCTCCTTCTCTAGTCGCCAACAACCATATCCCGTAATAAAATCCCACACCATTAAACGGTGGGGAACCAAAATAATCACAATAAGAAGCAACGAGTGGAAAACATAAGAAAAGATGATTAGTTTGATCAAAAAACTAAACAAAAAAGGGCAATAGGAAACAAAAAAAAGGAGGGAATCTGCTCTAAAAATTAAAATCAAATAAAAAAAAGAAAGAGGGAGGAATTTTTACCTAATTGTTGAAGCGACAACACCTCTCCATCATCATCATCAACTCGAATTTCCCCCTCCACACTCACACACACATATATTTGTATTTGTTTAACTCGAATAGAGGGTTTTAATTTGGAAATTAAATTGGAATTTTTGAGAATTTAAGGTTCTTGACGAGTTAGGGTTTTGGAATTTGAAGATTTTTGTTGTGGATCGAAATTGAGGTTGAATAATAGAAAGGAAGGCTAATCGAACTAAATTGGAGTTTCAATTCGGTGTTTAAACCATGAATTGAACTCGAATTAGACTAGATTGAAACTTAGAGTTTTTGATATCTCCAACGAGTAATAAAAATTAAGGGTTTTTGAAAATAATGACTCATTTAGGTTTGAATTGACTTAATCTCAAGAGAAATCACGCCAATTAAGGCCATTTGAAAGGAAAATTTGAAAAATCAAAAACTTAGGGTTTCCTCCAAATTGGAAAAAATTTTCAATTTGGGATTTTGATCTAATTGGAAGAGGGAGATTAATAGGATGAGAGGGAAAGAAGGATTGAGAGAGAAATGAGGAAAAAACGAGCCGGAAATCTCTCGGTTCGTTTCTTCCATGGATTGGCAAAAGAAGAGAAAAAGAAAGAGATGAGACCGAGAAAAAGGAATAAGAAGAAGAAAGACAAAAAAAAAAAAAAGGAGAATAAGAGAAAGAGGGACGAACCATTATTGGTTCGTCCATGGAAGGTAAAGAGAGAGGAAGAAGAAGAAAGAAAAAGTAAGAGAGAGAAGGATAACAATCGGATGAGGAAGAAGAAAAAAGAGAAAAAGAATTGAGTTTGATCGAAAAGAAAAGAAAGAGTTTTGTTTGTGTTTTGGGTTGGGCTAAGCTCAACTCGTGTGCGACTAGGTTAGGTCGATTCTAGTTTAGTCCGAAAAAGGAGAAGAAAAGAGTTGGGTTGGATCGATTCCATACAAATTAAGGATTATTTTCTTTGACTTATTTAGTAGATAAGTAAGAGAAAATAATCCGTAATTTGTACGGTGTAATTAAATTTTTTCAATCTTAGGAGTTCTTAATATATTTTAGAAAAACAAAATTACAAAGAACCTTAAAAGAAAGAGGTGGGGTTTTTATTATTTTTAGACTATTCACACACTCACAATATTTTTGTTATTTTAAGTTTTTTTATGCATTTATTCCGCCTACATTACTATTTACCCTCAACTACTAATTTTGAGGTTTTTTCTAGACATTTTATACATAAAATTTTGCTATGTTGTTTTTTGATCCCTCATTTTTTTAATATTTTTTATTTTTGCAACTTTATTTGTATTGTAATCTGGTTACTAATTGCGGAGAGGAGAGAGAAACGAAGAGAGAAATCTATATATGAATTTTTTAATAATTTTTTAGAATATTTTTATTTACTTTTTTAAAAAAATTAATATAATTTATGTCGTTACCCGACGTCGGACGGGACTCCCAAAAAGAGTATCTCTATTTACAAAGTTTGATTATATGTTCGGAGTCGCCACCTAGCATTAAGGAACTAGGAACCTATAAATTACAATGGTCCAGAAATTCTATAGTAAGGAGTTGATTATACTTTTGGAAAAATATTTATTCACCTAAAAGTGTCCTTTTCGAAGAAAGATATCATGTCTAGTTTAGTCTCAAATTTATCTCCTAAAATGTTTCACTTATGTCAATTTTTTTTTATTTGAAACTCTGATTTTTAAAGCAAAATAATAATAATAATAAAAGATAATAATAAAAAAATAAAAAAACTAGTTTTGAGCATGGCATCATATTGAAGTGATCGTCGGTCTCCTTCATCGGGCGACACGTCGGTTCAAACATCGGATCCATTTTAAGCCTTGACACAACCGTTGTGTCGGAGCATATCCTGATTAAACAATAAAATTTTTTTATGTGACGACAAGTACCTATCGGATAGGAGACTTCGTCCGGAATTAATTATTTATGTATTTTTTTTGTCAAACGTCAGTCCCTATTAGATATGAGATTTCGTTAATCTAATGACATATAAAAAAATAATGAAAAATAAATAAAACGTCAATTCTATATTAATACAAGAAGATACGAAAAAAAATTTTAAAAAAAAATTAGGCTAAAAGAGAAAAAGAGAAAAATATCTATATAATTGAAATATTAAAAGAAATAATTTTGGGTCCCACATCATTACCCAAAACTTATTATCTCCTGCCTATTCTTTTCTAGTTCCATTTTTTTAGTTTATCACTTTTTATTTCTTCACCTCTTTATTTATATTTTTCTTTGTGAAAGCCGAATTAGCTTCAGCGTTCATTTATAATTTGGAGGAAAGGAAAAAGGCTAAACAGAAACCCGTGCAGCCTCCTTCCTCCCTATTCCTATCACCAGGCTTGGGCTGAGTTGAAATCAGCCCAACCATTTAGCTCGCGTGGGTTGGGTTAAGTCCAACCCACACGATTCCCCTTTTTTTGTTAAAACAAAACTAAACCCACAGATGTACCTTAGACCCAAAACAACTTACTTTTTCATTTTATCATATCAGAAACGGGGATTTTAAGCTCTTGACCCCCTCTCCCTTGTTCCTCGCCTCTGCCTTCCTTGGCACTAGCGTCCCAATCCCCATTTTTTTTTTGAATTCACACTCTACTAAAATAACTTACGAATCAAAAAGTGGAATGATTTTGGCGTTAGGATTTACCTGAGAAACACAAAGGGAATGAAGGACAATTTTGGGACTTGTCGTTGCGATTATTGTTGATTCTGCAGATTTGAACGATGGCTTCGAACTGAATTTGATGAAGACGGTTTGCTTAGAAGTTTATGGATTACTGGGGCTAAGCCAATGAAGGATTCTGCCTGAAAATTTTAAATGGGAAAGAAGAGAAAAAAAAACAATGGAACGAAGCCAGCAGCTTGAAGAGCAAACCCAGGGAAGTGAAGGACGCAGAACTGAAAAAAAACCCACGCTGCCTAGAAAATCTGAGTGAAGTTTGATGAATTGGAGAGGATGGAATGAACTTATATAGCGGTATCAGAGTCTTCTGTTGCAGATGGTTGGTTGAGAGATTTGTGAAGTAATACCCAGATCTCCCCTCTAGGCGAAG